TTAACACATCGTACATGCTAATTATAATCATTCTGATCAGTAATCTCACAATTTCATTTAACGTATTAGTCATCACAACATTAACGATTTTATTTCACAATGCTAAATTCTCATGCTATGATTTTAGACGATGTATTTTGATTCAAATATAGCTACTTTTTTGTTTATTAATTTGGATATATAATTGTGGGACCCGAAGAATTTTTTGAAAAGAATATTCTTTGTTCATATGTTTTAATATGATGGGAAATTTTTGGCGGTTCACATTCTATTTAGTAAGCCGATTTAGTTATGACAAAATATTTTGAAACCGAATAAATCAAACTTTACTGACAAATTCATTGTTACTTATGTTCAATGGGTAATGAGATTGAAGATGTATGTAACTGTTCTTGATGAAGATAAGTTATAATATCATTATTTTAAACAACATAGTATATGGTCTGGGAGGTGAATACTTTGTCATATATTTATCTTCAAGTAAAATTTATGAATTCCGAGTTTTCCTAACAACTATTCTGAAATTTATTTATATATTTGTAGATAAGTGTCCTTAAAAGCTGCTTATCACCCATATTTAACATATAGGTTCCAGGATCTAATTTTGTGTGAAGCAATCATTTGTCAGGCTTTAAATCAATGCTACCGGTTAGTTTTGGTGTATGTAAAACGTTTTAAATTATAAAACCAGAACAAATAGAGCTTACAGAGAAATCTTCAGACCACTTTAATCTGATCATTTGTCATACAAGACTGGGTGTGTCGTAAATTATTCACGATTTGTAAAGTACATTAGTGACTAAGTTTTCAGCAAACGTACCTTAACAATGAAGTGGGCTTGATTGATAGAATGATAACTCGATATAAGTTATTAATTTATACTAACCAATTTGATGATTTATTTTCGTATTTCCTTATTAATTCTTTCTATAGGTATGGTGAATTAATAATCCATATCAACTCATGGTATCTTTATATGTTTACTTTATAAATGTTAACTTTTATTAAGTCCATAGTATATACTGCACTAGCGGGCAATAACTCCCGAATGATTAAATACTATTTCGATAACCTGTATATGACCGCACAGTAAGAAAACAATTCATATTGTAAACCAACAGTAAGTGATAAGCAAATTAAAAAGGACTAACACTGAAGAAAATCTATTTTCTTCAGTCAAAGATAGGGATTTAAGTCCTCGACTATTGATATCTTGAGCCTGTGAATTTAAAACCTTTTTATGATCAGAATGTAATTTTACAAAAAGCTTTAAATCTACAAGTTCATAACTACAAAGGAAAACATTTTCTGCTCAAAAAATTTCGAAGTTATGTTTACGAAACTTGAAACAATCATGTTCACCGTTGAACCAAAATAAAATTTGAGTATAAATTAATCATTTCAATAATAGCGAAGTTTGGATTGAGCCGTTCTTTAACTTATTATTCATAATCTGTCTTGTTGTGTAATACTTGAATTATATATAAAGCCATCAATCAAGGTTGAAATATAATCACTAAGATATATAAATGGAAATAAGTGCCAATTATATGATATTAGGTAGCTGAAAACAACAAACTAGAAGTTATAGATAAACTTATTGTCCTGATTGACACTCGTTAGCATGATGTGTCAACAATTTCCATCAACAAATTCAAATATGTATACGAGTGCCGAAACCATATATATACTACTGCTGGAATAGTTGACTGATAATTATGAATACATTTGCAAAAAACTAAGTTTAGAGCTTTTCATCAATTGGCAACATTAATCTAACATGAAAATATGTTTTAGATTACGTGAATATGAGAAATATAACCATTACTTTAGAGACAACATAGCAACGAAACATATGAATTGGAATAAATCAACCGTTTACTCGTAGTTTAATAATATGTTCAAAAAAAGAAGACAAAATCATCTATATCTTTAGTTACTTAAGAAACATATTTCAAAATACATGTATTACCATCATAACAGTCATATAAAGATTACCTTATAACTTAATGATTTAATAGCATTTAGACTAGCAATAATAATTAGTTACTTTGGATCAACGTTCGGTTGCGTCATCCAGTTGACAATTTGAAGAAAAAAATCACATGAATTATGCCTGATGATATAACGATAAGATTCATAAAAGTATTTGATTTCTGCTTCTCATATTTCACAAAACTGTTATTATCTTAATTTTTTTCTTTTAATAGACATTATTATGACCAAATTACATAAACTTAGAATATACATATGTACGTTAAGAACGCAGATAAAAGAAAAAACGAACTGATTGAGTAAAACTCGACAAACGTTAATGACATACACGCATACCCCAGAGATGAAGGTATATAAGTAAGGGGTGGGTGGAGTAAAAGGAAGAGAGTCCTACTTATAGGACATTATTTAAGCATATAATACGTAAATGAACAACAGCTATTTTTCAAACGAGCAGATTGTTATTCAGTTAAATAAAATTAAACAAAGAGAAAAATGTAAAGAAACATGAACAAATGGAACTGTGTCAACTCCTTTGATGTGTACATGCTTTAAGTAAACATGCTTAATCTAGTAGATATATGGATACCACTAATTTAAACAATCATAATACATGGATTTAATTAGTAATAATCATTGTTCACTAGTTTTAAAGATAAATTGAAATTGTTGTTCAGAAATTCTAGGTATTAAATCTTATACAGTAAAATAAATATATAATTCTCTTTAGATTAGTTATTCAGGCTGTATGTCAATTTAATAATGACAGGGTTTAGACTTATATTCTATTCCTGATATTTCCAACTATGATATAATAAGTAATAATCAATATTGCATTTTCTAGTCCGTAGTGCTGGTGAAATTTCATTGATAAAGTTGCATTGTAGCCAGAAGGCTTAGTAACTCAAAGTTATGATGTATTTTATCTGATGGTTGGAGGTACCTATTATCAAACTATTTGTTCTGGCAGCCGTAATGCAACATGAATGATGAAATTTGTTGTTTAGTAGTGACTAAACAAAATGTAATTGATTATTTCGATGTGGTCAATTAGTGTAAGTACATTAGTTCTACAGGAAGTTATTTGTGGCACAAAAATCACTCACGAAGGGTTCGAATACGATATGAAGCATGAGTTGCTGTTTGATTCCGGATATATTTTTCTAGCAGGTACTAGAGAATATGAAACCTAGATCTAGAGCTTTTGGCCGATTCCTTTTAACGGCCTAATGTAATATTAAATTTCACACACGTTATTATCTATAAGTAATCGATAAGTTTCACAATCCACAGAGCTTCCTATAAGAAATATAGATTAACTCATGAAAGTGCATAATAAGTTATTATTTTATGACTACTTTTTAGGTATTCATCGATTAAACGTTTAAATTAAGAGGAAATGACTAATCTTTTTCATTTGCAATCTAAATTTATGAAAACTAATGAAAGCACCCAAATAACCGGACGTTACAACAAACAGTATCGTGAGACTATAGACCATATTGTTATTCTTTAACTGAAAATGCTTACAAGCCGAAGCTAATCACTAACACTACTAAATCTTCAATCAAATATTGAATTTGAAGGATTTACATTTTAAAAGCACAAAAAGCTCCTTTATATGATATGAACAAATCTCCAAATTTATTTAGTGGGCTGAATTCCAGCCGCAGCGTAAATAACAGTACTCAGTTTTTCAAAAGTAAAAGTTCGGCTCCAGCTGATGGGACTATTTGTCTCACAAAATCAGGAATTTCAATAACTCAGGTTGAGTGCCAAGATATTATATCGACGTCTTTGGCTTTTATTTATTTATCCATTAAGGTTTTATTAGGATTATCTTTGTGTCCTTGTAAATTATTATATGAACACTACATTTCTGTGCAAATATGTTATTAGACGTGCGTCTAAACTGGGCATGATAACTCGTACTGATGAACGAAAACAATCGGAAAAACTTTGTGTTACTAATTATTGTTAATTGATTTTCACAGTCACAACTGTTTTTGGTTATATTTGTATTAGAAACGACTACAGAGCATGTGGCGATTTCACTGTACAGAAAACTTTAGGAGGAAATGCAATTATGTATTTCGAAGATGGAAAGAGAAAACAATTTCTAAACAACAGATAAACAATAACTCCAGTACGGCGACAGCTTAACTAAGCGATATTAGGTGTATTATGTACATTACCCACTGAAGCGACAGTACATCCAAACTCATTGTAGCTATAAACCTAAATGTGTAACACATGGGGATGACATTACTTTTAGAAAAAATGGAAGACATTCGTGAGTTGCTAGTATTTTATCACAGATGTCTGAGACGTATTGCTCGCATCTGCTGGGATAACCGGGTAAGTAATAGTGAGGTTAGACACAGGGTATTAGGGAACGATGCTAAACCAGTTAAAGAGGTTGCAAATCTCCATCGGCTGAAATGGTTGGGCCATTCGTTACGTATGTCTAAACACCGATTACCACGAAGCACAATACTAACTAGTATTGGGGATGGTTGGAAGAAAATAAGGGGCACCCAAACCAAAACGTGGTATAAGTTCACCAAGCCACTAACTTCTAGTCTGAGCCATGTTGGTAGATGCAGACTACTTGGTTGGAGTCCGCGTGACTATCGTAATGAGTGGTTGGAGACTCTTGGTGACATGGCTCAGAATCGATCACAATGGTGTAGGTGTATACACTCGTTGTCTTCCCTTAAACTGGAAAATTAAAATTGCTTTATACCTTTCTTTCTACCAACTAATTCTTTCTTCCTGTATTATATCCTTATATACAATCTTTTGTAATACATTACTACCATTGAGTTGACTACTTCTATGAATTTGATGTTCATCTTGTTGTAATAGTGGTGTGGCGAATTGGACCGATGCATATATGTGCCTGGTCGTAAGTTGTAGCTGGCTGACTTTCAGAAAGTTGAATACGTATTTTGTCTAAACATAGACAATAGAGCCCCAACTGGAGACGCACAGGCAGAATACCGTTAAATTTGTATTATTTCTTTATTAACTAAATTAATTCAAAAAAGTATTTATGGAACAAAACGAGTTCAACAATATGCAAAAAAACTGGCTACTATAGGTGAAGTAATGAAAGCCAAATAACGATAGTTTTAACAACAGTTAGAATATCAGATGGAAGTTTGTTTGTTTTCAGAGGTATCCTGTCTGAGTACGTATTTCGAGTCTCGCTGCCCAAATATTGCCGTTCCTATGCGGACGTTAGTGCTTCCAAGTTGTATCTATATTTACAGTTAATAATGCTGAAAACTTACAGCATGCTCAAAATCATGAGACATTCCCATACTTAGTTCAAAATCCAACGGCGATCTCCCCAAAGAAGAAGCCAGTAACTCTCTGCATTTTACAAGTTTCTGAAATATAAGTTAACCAAAATACTAACCACAAAGTCCGGATTTGGACCTGAATTGATGTCTACTCCTTCTTGTCCAATGCACATAAGACCAACAACTTTTAGGTTAGGGCATTTTGCTTTAATCTGATTGTACAGATTATTAACTTCAGTGGGTTTGACGCCACTCTTCTCTAGAAACTGAGTTATGCAATAAATTAGAATTACGAGGCTCTCCACTTGTATTCACCTGAATCATTATGTTTAGAGGGATCTGATGATTTAAGCCCCATGATGAATGAAGAATCTCAGCATGGTCCATTGAGTCCACAGTTTCTACCATGTATAAATTGTTAACTCCTTAAGACGTAAGATCAAGGTGGATAACTACCGGCAAGCTTTCTTATTTTATTGGATTGAATCCGGCCTATGAAGTGCCACTTGATGTCCGGACAAGACTTAATTAACTGAATATTCTGCTTAGTCTATAGGTGCACAAATATACCTCAGGTGAGTAACTCTTGTCATACAAATGAACAATCTAATGTAATTAATTTAAAGATATTCCTCTGACTACCTTGTTCTCTCCAAAATGTCTTTGTCCAAAATTATAAGCTTCTATAATAGACTTAATAGGCTTTTCTTTAGAAACTGCTACCAAGCGACAAAGTTTTTGGTTAGATGGGGACTAAATATGCATGTTCACAAACAAATGACAAGCCTACTGCTTTACATGCTTCTTCAACTTGACGCAAGATATGAGGCAGATTTATTGGCATTATGACATTTAACGTCTGGTAATTTTGCGTCTACTTTGAAGCGACGCAGTGTGCTGGAGAATGTGAACGATTCTGAAAAGGAATGCATGAGGAGAAGTGAGGTGATGACTGATTAGACATACAGAATACACTTTAAACAAGTTATGAATATCTGAAATACTTAGCAGTAACACGAACGAGACCAAAACACTCGGACGGCTGAAACTAGAAATTGGTAGCGCAAGAGGTTAAACGTCCAGATGGTTCAAATGGTTTTGTATGGAATAGTAGGAGCTTTCGTTTAACGGTTTCCGTATCTAGTAGCAGTGAATCGCCGATACCTCCAGACAGGAACCTAGGTATATAATGGATAAAAGAGGAAAAAGAAACAAAGTTGGTAAATCATAGTGATATACTGTCCTTAGTCCTTAAGAATGTGTCAATTTTTCTCTTAAAGGACTTATAGGAAGTCGCTTGAACTAACTCAACCGGCAGCGAATTCCAGCATTAGACTAATCTTTAGGAGTATAAGATGTGTCTACAATCCGTTCTGCTGAATCGTGTATCCTGTTTCTGGGTATTGCCCCTAGGGTTTGTGTTGGAATTGAACTTAAGTAGGTGTTTAGGGGGATGTCCATAAGTATTTAGAATGCTGTAAGTTATTAAAACGTCACCTCTGCGACGACTGTAATCTAATTGGTGATTGTTCAGTGATTAGAGGCGCTCTTCATAGGACTTCAATTTGAATCCCCGAACTGATTTCATGGATCGCTGTTGGATACGTTCCAGGGTGTCCTTATCCTTTCGGAGTTCGGGAGGAAACACTGTTCCTGTGCTCTAAATGGGGATGAATAAGACTGTTGGAGATCACGTATAAATTTCTTTAGTCGAACTGGCCGAAAATGCGCTTCAACATTACCAGAGCAAGGTTTGCTCGGAAGTCACTTTTGCCACAGTTGGCGTAAGACTCCTAAATCATTTTCAACCTGCTTACCTCTAGAGTAGAGTCACCTAAGTTGTAGTTCGAGTCTGCAACATGTCTCGGATGGATTACTTTACTTTTGAAACTGTTAAATGCAAGTCCGTTGTCATCTACCCAACCTTAAAGTTGAGTCACATACTCCTGAAGTGTCAGTTTATCCTCTTGATTGCAGCTCGAAGGTTCAAAATTGGTGTGATGTGAGCCAGCTTCCGATTTTCCGGTAACGCGCTTCAACCTAGCGGATGTGGGAACGTCACGCTAAGCGGTGTTGCCAAGATCGAAGCTGCTTCCCTCATTATAACAGGATGGACCATATCCGGAGCAGTAGAAGTGTCGTTTTTTAGGTACTGCACATTCCGGTACACCAAGTCAGCTCTCAGGTTCACTTAGGAAAGTCCTGTGCAGTTGCAGATGGAGCGTTCATCAATATAGTTAGTATAGGTCAATTGAAATATACGAGACTACTGTTCTGCCAAAAGTTCTGTAGTGTCACCGCTATTGTTGGTCGGGCCATTAGGAGCTAGCGGTTGGGAAACTACACTTTTGGCTACATGACGAAATAAGCTTTTCGGATTGGAGATAAATTAATCGATAAGTTGTATCTTGTACTGAAGCCTGTCTTCTGTTACTGAGTTTGTGCACATGTTCCTTATTAGTTTGAATTACTTGCATGCATAGTTGTTACCAGTTCATTTGTATTCCTCCCAGCAATGCTTTTTGCGGCTTGGTAAACAAAGAGTGCGGTTTCTGACTACTGTAGGTTGCTCGTAGATTTTGGGGACCGTTAGCGGAACAGATTGCTTTGTAGAAATCCCAATGAGCATCAACATCAAGTTAAAGATGAAATTTCCTGTCCACTTGTTATAGGTTGTTCTGTAAAGCTGACACATCCAACCGTTTGAAATTCGAACACATGTTGTCGGTAGGATGTCTTACCTCAGTTTTGCTGATAAAACTGAAGGCTATGACGGTATGATCGCTTCTACCCAGGATTTAGATATTGTCAATTAGTTCTTCGTTTGTAAATAGGCAGACTAAGCGTGACGGCGTCTGACTATTTTTTCCAACGAGTTGCCGACTCCAAATTTTTTAGTAATCCCAGATCTTCAATGAGGTTGAAGAACCAAGAAACTGACTTTAGGAAGATTGAAGTCCCTTAGAGTCAGGATATAATTGAATCCAAGAGGAGTAGAGCGGTATAGTCCTTCCAGCATACGATTGTTGTACTCTATGTCAGCAGTAGGGTTCCTGTAAATGTGTTATAACTGGTCGCCGCTGATTGCCGTGCCAGAAAAACGATGATCACTTATACTCAGAACGACGGACCTCTGCGATTCCCACGAGTCGAAAGTAAGAACACGAAGACTGGTGTAAGTGAAGATTTATTAGCCCCAAAACACTATGAAGATGATAACGATGATAATGGTAGAAAATACACTCATTTATATATTGATAGTACACCCATTTTGATTAATAATTATGACGAAATCACATATATGAAAAATGCTCAGAGTTATAACAAATCACATGCTGAGTATAGTTCAAGTAAATGGAATACAAGAATACAGTATATTATACAGGATAAAATATCAATCGAGAAAAGAAAACAAATACTACATTGATTATTCATTACATTGAATCAAAATGGGAGTAATCTTGTACAAAACTCATACTGAGCAAATCAATCGAAAATTGACTTTCTTTTCCATCATATCACCTACCCTTTTTTGAAGATCTGGATTTGATATCCGGACTTTAGATTTTCCAAGTTCATCCTCCCCTACGAAACTGTGTTGGATCCTCATATGCCCAAGTTACAATTAATCTGAATTTATTTAATACATATTTATCGCACTGGGCAGGAAATCGACTGAAAGTGACTGAATGGTGAGGCTGAACGACGCTTGATATGAGGTGATCAAAGTTTGATTCTTCTGAAAGATTTTCATCAAATTTCTTGAAAATCTCATCAGTAAATAGTGGTTTATTCATCATTATATTTTTGGTACAATATAGAATTATCAGCACGAAGTATTTTAACAAGTTTATGTCTCTTATTTCATGATCGATATTGACGATAAATATTGAGTGACCACCAGTTAGATATTAGCATTTCAGAAGTCGAGATCTGAATAATATTCATTCTTTTTAATGCACATTGTCAGCCGTTACGATGTTTCCGACTGTAAATTCTTGTAATTTGTGCAGCAAAAGGTTGTAAACTTTTCACAAACACATCTGAATATGTTATGTAGTTAATTGAAATGATGACTTGTTAAAACAAACAGATAACTGGTTGAAATATCTATATTGGAGTAACAGGCAGTCTAGATATTCAAGTCGGCCGACTTTTAGCTGAGCAAAAGCACTTGGTGAAGGTCAAACGTCGTAAAATTATGAGTGTCACGCTTTTCTCGATCAAGTGACTGAAATTGCAGTTAGTGCAAGTGCTCCTATGAGATATGGATAAAAAATTCGTCTTATTGGAGTCCAACTAACTGCATTCACCCATAATAATGTATAAATTTTAAATCCTTAATACAAAATTTCTTCACCAAAGTTCATTATTATATACCTTTACTAAAACTACAGTGAGTACCGAATGAATCTGTTGTTTTCGAATTTCAAACATTAGATTTGTTGGTGAGACCAGAAACCAAGTTATAGTGTTGGTCGAAAGTAAGAAAAAACATCGAAAATGTTTTATTTTAGCAAAAGTTTCAAAAGTTCAACTTTAATATCTCACACACTTTAGACTTAGTGGCGTTTCACAAACATTTATTTATTTTATATGTGTTAGTATGCGTGAATTGTGAGTTCACACCGTCTATCACGTTATTTTGTACCGCCGCTGAATTTCATTGCTCTTACATACTTTTACCTACGTCATTCTTTGTTTTTTATCAGCCAAGGGAATTGACCGTAGAGTATAACAGCGTCGTGTAAATTTTAGACCACTACCCACCTCGTTGGATTATTTGAATTCCCTACATCAAGCATCATCTGTATTTGCTTTCGTCTACTTGGCCCCGCAGGTTTCCCGAAAAGGACTCCCGTGTAAGATTCTTCACGTACTTTTTATTACTATCTTCAATGATATATGTTTGTTTAATACTTGTTTCTGTCGGCTTTTTCATTTACGTATGACTTCTCACCTTTATGCACCAGTATATCCTGACCAAGTCCTCAGTTTGGATCATTATATATGTTACATCAGTCATATCAGTTCGATATTTTACAGGATTTGGGATATGGCAAGATGAAATAAAACCATTTAGACGTGGACTGGTACATATGTACATGTGAACGAACCAACGTTCCATACTAAATCGGGCACCAGTCAGTGCAATCTAACTTGAAAAGATATAGGGCTGGCTAGTTTACATAGACATCTACGTTCAAAATTGACAGGAAATCCCAATTTTTTAGATTTCAAACCACAACGCATAAGGCACAAGACAACAGAGTGGCCTCGATTCCTCAAAGGGTTCGTGCTCAAAATGCCAAACTCACCTATTACCAATAAATCAGGCATACACATATAAAAACAGCACAACAAGCAATCAGTATCAGTGGTACTAAAATGGTGACCCTCTTGAATTAGACTGAGGGTGCCAAGGCCTCCTTATTGAGATGACGTACCCAGTACGAAGTTTCCTAAGTCTCTGAAAGATTTAAAACTGAATTCAGCGGCTACATTTGCCTGTATTTCTAAGCAAAATCACCATAAACCTTAGCGTAACAAGAAGCCGGCTCATAAATAGCATATTAACTTACACCACATCTTAAAATCATATACGCTCAAACAAGGGTGACAAGCACATGAAAGATGAAAGCAGATCACAATTGGAATTGTGTGTACCTATGATAAATAGGAGTAATTGAATTATGGTATGAACTAATAATCCCAAGGATAAAGTAATTGAATCAAGAAGTACTACACAAGCACTAACGAATGTACTGTATTTAGAATTCGAAATCAAACATTCAACAAGTACAAAGCAATCATTAGTTCATTCAAACACCACATCCGCCACAGCTTAAATTAGAGTCCAGGTGTCTGTAATGAATTGTACGCCTTCTTCTCAAGTTCATACTGTGTCTATCCGACAATGTATTAGATAAAGACTCTGTATTATCTAGAATGCACTCATTAGTATTAGAATTAACAACCGAAATCGGAACAGACTCACTTGCTTCCTGGGATTGTGTATGATCATCATGTCGGTTGAGTACTAAAACTACTGCTACCTAGAATTTCAACCATAGACATTCAGACTATCCTCCCCCACGAAATAATGTCGGATCTTTATATCCCCAGGTTATGAATAATGTGGCTTCATTTAAAACATCTTTCTCAATATGACTAGAGTAAACATTAAAAGTGAATTTGTGATAAGGACAAACAACAGTTGATATGGAATTATCTGAATTGTAATCAAACTCTAACTCATTTAATACTCGTGCTTCGCATCGAACGAGTTTCTCACAAGAAACAAATGCATCATGAGGACAAATAATATTTGATATGACACCAAGATTTGATTCTTCTGAAATAGTTTCCTCAAATTTATTAAGAATGTCATTGCAGAGCAAAGGATCATTAGAAAAATCAGCATCAATCAAAACTACATCAGGTTTTCGATCATGATTAGGTTCATCCGAAATATTTTCACCAGATTTGTGAGAAATTTCATC